AATTTCTCGACATATTCTCTACACTCTCTTTTTTTTCTCAGTATGGCTTGACATATTCTGAACATTTTGAATGGTGTCTTAAATTTACTTACCAGTTCTGAGTTTTACAAATCATGACCAATATTCATGATATAACTTTAATCTTTATTTCTCTTTATATGATATACTGTTGTTTCAAGTTACACTTCTTTACAACAAAAATAAAAGTTGGGCATGTAAAGTACATGAAGTAATTGAAAATTTGGGTATATAAATATTTTTACAAATGCAAATATGGCTATGAAATCTAAAGTATAAAATAATTCAAATGTGGGTGTGTTGATATAAAACAATTTCAATGTGGGTTTTTAAATAATTACAAATTTTGATTCCTAAATCTTATAAATTAAATGATTCAAACCAATCATACTGTAAACATATTTCATTCTACATTCAAAATATTCAATGTTGATATGGTAAATAATTATTATACCAAAATGTGGTTTATATAAATAGCAAATTATGATGATATACAAATCATTCATTTAACAGAAGAAAAATTTGTGTAATGTCATCTGTTGGAATATATTAAGTATTAAACATGGACAGGATGTTCCCCATAAAATTAAGAACATATCTTTATGATATTTCTGATAATGTAAAGATAATTATTGAGCATCGAAGTGTGTACTTGCATTAGGATTAAAGTGAATGATTATTTCATGGTACGAATTTCATATATATATAAAGTTTGTTAATTAAATCTTTTAAGATATAAAACGATTTGTATTTGTTGACGGATTTATTCCCTATGATATTTCAAGGACATTATATCAGTTAATATTATTATTCGAAAGTTTTTATGGATTTGTGATTGGTTAAAACTTGATCACATTTATATTTGTATTTACTCAGTCTGCACACCAATACTATTGTGTTTAGCATATTGCACAGAATATACAGCACATTACTAAAATACACTCTAGAAATCTATTGGCTGAGGTCAATACGATGTTATATCAACCCATTATCGACCTCGCACAAAGGCTATAATTGTTAAATGTTTTCTGCGCGGACAAAGCTCGAAAGTGAAAGATTTGTATGATATTAAAAAAGAAAGAATTCTATACAATAGCAAGGACAAATAAACTTTAGATTGGTACAAACAGTCTCAACATCGGTAAATACTCGTTAAGCCTACACCACAAGGACTGAACAAATTGTAAGATATAAAACTCAATGCTCTTATATAACATTGAGAGATTGCACAGTTAACAGGTGCTCATTGGAATAATAATAACACTTAATAATAAGACCTGTATATCATGTGTCGCTTCTCCGCCTTCGAGATCAAATCAAACAATATGGCGCTCTATCCTAAAGTAGGTATGCAAAATATTATTAGTTACATAGTGTGCTAGTGACATAATACGATATATATAGGGTCCGTAAATTCCATATAGGTTGTGTAACGAAATTATCTTACCAACTATGTGAACATGTGGTAGCTAGACTAGTGGTCTATCAAAGTGATAAAGTCTTCAATAATAAGAACCTACTTCCAATGATCTATACAAAAACAAAATCCAGCAATAACAACCTGTCGGCTTTAAATGTGTTTTATGAATTTATTTCAACCGTTCATCATCATTTCTTCGTCTGTTGAAACCTTTCATATAATTCCCCAACATTGTCTTGTTTTTACATAGGGACGTAACGCCACTATTAACCGTGTATTGAAATAAACCACAACTACTAACTCGATATGAAATAATCATGGTCTTCGCGCGGTTACTTTTAACCAATCACATTCCTCGAAATGTAAAGGACGTAAGATAAAGATTGCTATCTTTCCTTCTGACGATTCTCTCTTGGTTTTTTATGGAATATACTACATCAGCTTGACTTCCTGGATTGGTCCATCACAAAATCGATTTTGCAAACTCTTCCTTATACACATCTGCCTGTAAATATTTGGATTTTTAGGCAAATTCAGGTAAGAAATGAACTCATCATCGATACGAGGATTAAAAATTTGAACGCCAGACTACCGTTTTGTATACAAAAGACTCATCATTAACGTTCCAAAAAATGTTTAAAAACGTTAACCCGAATAAAATACAAAAATGAAGAGCATTGAGAAATACTGACGGGATAGAAAATCCTTATTATTTGTAGACAAAACTATAGAAAGTTTAGTTGGAGAAAATAACTGAAATTGAAACAATTATTTTACCGCTAACAAAACTACCAAATAATGCAGAATTCAAATATAAAAAGAGATTTTGATTATATTGGTTTAAAGCAAAAGTATTAATAATTGTTTTGTACGAAAAATGCAGATAAAGAGAATTTGTAATACTTAAATATTTTGTACAAAAATATCAGAATAAGTAGAATTTGAGAACAGTATTTTTTATTTAAAAAAAGATATGTTCCCGTGGCTTTTCTTAACGCAATTAAAACTTTGAATCGTTCTTTCCTTTCAATTCTGCACTTAAAAAAGGGTCTCGTCGTATCGTAGGAAAGCATTAGTTCCTTTAGACGTAAGGAAACTTTATTGTTTAGCCGTCGATATAATGCAGAGTGCAATGAAAATCTACTAATCAAAACTATCCGCTGCACACAACGACTAATCAGGATTCGTTTACTCCCAGTTCTGAATACCATGTTATCTTCTTGAAATGATTGCGTCTATAATACTCAATGGTGTATTGTAACCTAAATACCCTTTTCTACAATTATTTTATCGTTATATTCTCTCGACGATACGATGCCGTTGTTTTGATTTGATATCTATTGCGAGAAATAAGATACATTTATCCTATGCTGACAATTGTAACATAATAACAAAATGCAAACTTTTACTGGACCATTTGCCAAATTCCTTTCATACTTCATGGGGTTTGTTAACTTGTAGGCTACAGTTTACCGGCGTTTTTGTAGCACAAAAAACATTGTGTTAATTCATATCTTTTGCACACGTGGGCCCGAGAGCCTCATACTTTATAGACGGTCCGTTAACACGTGTCGATAACAACATGTACAATACAATATCACCATTTTGATTTAATCATTCTTGTCAGTGGTCTGGACATTTACAAAACGTTTTGTACATGTAACAGAACAAGTATAAGAACGCAACTCTTCTCGAGAGTTGTCATACTTGTTGAGTGATTGTTCTAATGCAGTATGTGTCTGAGTGTTAGAAATCATTTGTAGTAAAATATTCAATGTCTCCGTCATTTTGATCGGACAAATGAAATAGAATAAAAAAATGTCACCTTTTGAATGCAAATTCAAGAACTTGCATTTCATCTTATGATTTCTTTGATAGAGGGTTGCTTTCTTATATCATGTATCTGGAAGCTATCTAACGAAGAATTCCAATGCTGAAGTTAAATTCATCCCTTCGAAAACTCGAAAATGTCATCACAAGGTATTTGATCGTTATGAAAAACCTGTTTCACAGTTGACGACGAATTTGTTCAAATGTCGTTACCAAAATTCTGTCTTCTTTTCCTTGATTATGACCTGCCGAATGAGACTAATCGCCGGGTTTGTACTTATGAGCCACGATAAGCCTTCAGTATTTGGTTGGGTTTACGTTGCTTTGGTTTTCGATGTTGTATTTTGTGTGATCTTTTGTTTGTTTTTTTTGACGTTTTTTTGTTTTTGTTTTTTGGCATGACATTGTAAGTTTGTTATCAAGTGATGAGTTTGAATACCCCTTAGACATCTTTCGCCTCCATTTCTCTGAGTTTATTTACCACAAAGCTTCTGTACTTGATCTACCGTCAGTATCTTCCACTTCTGTTTCATCAGGAATATTTGTTATAGACAGTTGACGAAACGTTTTGGTCATTATGATTTGATAATTGCTGTTAAGGTTATTGGAGTCTGACTATGTATGGCCTACAAATCGGTAGATAAAATTGTTCTATGCTACATCAAATGGATATAAAATTCGAATATTGAACGTTATTTGAAGTAGACATACTATACTTCACTTATCCTACATATATATGTGTCATTATAGAATTAAGTCAGTGATCCGCTGACGTTGACATCGTTGAAATTGAACCTTCACCTTTTATTCTTAATATTAGGTAAACGGTAGAATGAATGAATTAAGCCTTTCGCATCTGATTTTTACACAAGTCTGTAGCCTTTTATTGAGTGGTTGTCGTTGGTTCATGTCTGTTATATTTGGGGTTTTTTTTGTAAAATGAATCGTTTTAACTTAAGCAATTCGTTCTCCTTTGAGTAGTTTTACATTTTGCATGTCGGTTTTTGTAACAGCTGACTATAAGGTATGCGTTTTTCTCTTTGACGAAGGCCGTAATGTGACCTTTAATTATTTATATCAACGTCATATGAACCTTGGTGGATAGTTGTCTCATTGTCTTATACCACATCTTTTTTTTTATTATGGTTTAAAAGGTTAATCAAGAGGAATATGCATATTTAAAAAGTATAATCCAGCGAGTTTAAGACAGTGAAAAAAGAGATGCAAAAGATATCAAAGGAAGAATATAAAAATGTTGAGGACAACAACAGTCTTAAAAACACAACACTGAAAATTAAAATCTGACCAACACTTTCCAAAATAAAAACTGATATTACAGTAGATTAAGCATTATGCTTCATCATTTTGGAACCTTTGATGTAAGCATCAAATCTCTTTTAAGAAAATGATAATGGGAAATACAAGCTCTTGAATACCGTTTCAACTGGGAGATACTCCATATGCTGGAATATTCATGCAATATATGTCGCAATAACAAGTCTACCTTTAACAATAACAAAATTAAGTTCAACAGCAAATTATTCATAAATTTAACAAAAAACAAAACCTCAGTTTTGGTGACAATACTTAGATTTAATGAGCAATGTTCTTAACAAGTCCATTGCAACTATATACAATCTTATTTGACCTAGACATTCCAACGCACAGACAGGATGATTACCATGCAATTCTTGTTGATACTGTTTTGTGAATATAATTAAGAGAACATTAATAAGTAAAATGTATACATTTATTGAAACATTACGATAAGTCTTATAAATATTATTAATCATGTAAATGTTCATTTCATCTTAAGAAGGGTATCAAAATTTAAACTTAAATATTCAACAACAGTTACATTAGTCGATCGCATTTGAAACGTTGTACTCTAAGATAATGTTATCAGCGATGATTCAAAAATACTAAATATATTTGAACAATTTATACATGTTCATGGATACAAATCCCTCCTTTACTACAAATGTTGTGGTGCAATTGATGGCATTGCTTAAATTTGTTTGGTCATTCACAACTATTGTACGAAAACAAAAGATCATAAAAAATTAAAGGAAGAAACCAGATGTCGATATTAAACCGAGCAAATAACATTTTCAACACATTTTCAAACACAATACGTATAGTTCTAAAGCAATAAGCTACACATTTGCAAGACAAACACAAAAGAAACTGTTTCAAATACACAAAAAATATCAAATTATCTAAATCAAATTTGAATATACTGTAATATACAATCAATCTATATCTGCTCAAGAATGTTCTAGAAAAAGCTGTGTTGGGGTCTGTGAATTATCTGCAATTAAGTGACAAAGGCTGTAAACAGTCAAGAGTACCTCCAAAGTAATACCGACAAAAAAGATTACCATTGTTGGAATTGTAAGACTATATTCTCAGAGACCCCTACAGTTTCCACTAGAACAATCATTTAATAGATACTGTGAATTCAGATAGTAGTATATACATTTATCGTTACGATTGTTCAACAATCCTCACAAGTAGGAGTTTATTCATTGAAATTTCAAAACATTCTGCATGCAAATCTTAATAGGAAAATATGAATTGCGAGTTTTTAAGTTTTGCGACTCTAATCAAAATTACCAGAAAAATTAAACGATCGCAAACTTTTCTGAATTTACAAAAAACTAAAGTTTTAAGAGATTTTACATTTCCTTTTTTTCTCTCGTCTTATTCCTTTGTTCTCGCGTCTTAATAATAACATTATTTCAGTATGATTCAATTCTGAAGCTATATCCAAAGCACTTTCATTGCGTTGGTTTCGAAGGCTAGAATTACAATTATAGCGTAATAATAGTTCTACAATATCGGTATGACCCCTACTGGAAGCTATGTGGAGAGGACTTTGATTATACTTATCACTTAGATTAGGATCACAATTGTTTTTTAACAATAGTTTTACAATCTCAGAAAAGCCCTCAAACGAAGCCTTAAAAAGAGGCGTTTCATTATCAGAATTACATATATTAGAATCGAAATTGTTCATTAATAATAATTTTACAATTTCGATAGAGCCCATTTCTGTTGCTATGATGAGGGGTTTTTTGATATACATATTACATTTATAATAATCACAATTATTTTCCAGTAACATTTTTACAATGTCTGCATTGCCGTTATATACAGCTGCATAGAGAACCCAACTATAAGTTTTCATACACAGTTTGATGTTATGTTCAGATTTATATTTCAGGATCATCGCTACTATTTCAGTATGGTTTAAGTAGGATGCAATATACAAAGGACTAACAGTCGTTACGTCAGAAACCTCAATTTCACACATACGGTTTAATAATAGTTGCACAATCTCAATCTGGCCGTTGCGTGAGGCTAAGCTAAGAGGAGACATGTTGACCTCATTTAATATGTTAACATCACAATTATTTTGCACCAATAATTCTGCAATTTTGGTATGGCCTTGCAACAGTGCTTGGAATAGAGGCGTTTCGTGTTGATCATTACAGAGATTTAGATCACAGTTGCGTTCTGCTAATACTTTAACAACTTCATAATGACCATTACACGAAGAAATACAGAGAGGGGTTTCATTTTTATTATTAGATATATTTGCACTAGAGTTTCTAGCAAGTATCAATTTTACCATTTCTGTGTTACCGTTACATGCGGCTCTAAACAAAGGTGTTTCATTTTCTTCATTCACGATATTTGTATCACAAATTTGTTCAGATAGTAATTTTTCAGCTTTGGCTGTGTTGTCTTTATAACTAATATCCGTATTGCAGTTACTTTTGTTAAGTAATACTTTCACAACCTCTAGATGGTGATTTGATACTGCAATGAAAAGAGGAGTCTCGTGCTTTATGTTAAAGAAATTGCAGTCAATGTTATGTTCTAAAAGAAGTTTTACAATTTCTACGTGACCTTTACTAGCAGCTGTAAAAAGCGGCGATTCGTTTTCTATATTGTGAATATTGGAATCACATTTGCATTTCAATAACAATTTTACCATTTCTGCGTTACCGTTACTTGCGGCTCTAAACAAAGGTGTTTCATTTTCTTCATTCACGCTATTTGTATTACAAATTTGTTCTGATAGTAATTGTTCATCCTCGGTTGTGTTGTCTTTATTGCTCATATCCGTATTGCAGTTTCTTTTGTTAAGTAATACTTTCACAACCTCTAGATGGTCATTTGATACTGCAATGAAAAGAGGAGTCTCGTGTTTGTTGTTAAAGAAATTGCAGTCAACATGGTCAATGTTATGTTCTAAAAGAAGTTTTACAATTTCTACGTGACCTTTACTAGCAGCTGTAAAAAGCGGTGATTCGTTTTCTATATTGTGAATATTGGAACCACATTTGTATTTCAATAACAACTTTACCAATTCAACATAACCTTTAGATGAAGCAACAAACAGTGGCGTTTCTTGAAATTTATTAACACTACTAGCATCACAGCCGTTTTCTAGCAATATTTTAGCAATTTGCATATTATCTTTACATGCAGCATTGTAAATTGGTGTTTCATCCAATGTGTTGCCAATATTTGGATTAGCGTTGTGTTCTAATAATACCTTTACGACATTTGTAGAACAAATATTGGAAGCTTTAAACAAAGGAGTCTCATTATTTTCATCGCTGATGTTAGGGTCTGCTTTGTGGTCTAGCAATAATTTTACAATACCGACATGACGAACTCCTCTTGAAATTGCTACATTCAGACAAGTTTTTCCTCTTTTATCAGGGATATCAATATACTTTGTTGGTTCTTTCTCAGAACTGTCACTGGTAGATAATTCGTTGGTTTTCGTCTTTTTATCATTCGAATCATGTTGTAATAATAACTTTACAACCTGCATATGACCATAACGACAAGCTGTAAACAAAGGTGTTTCGTAGTCTTCATTGGAGATTTCTGGATCACAATGGTAATGTAACAATAACTTTACAACCTCAATATGACCATTTTGACAAGCTATAAATAAAGGTGTTTCGCTGTCTTTATTGTGGATAGTTGAATCACGAGGATGTTCTAACAACGACTGTACATGGCCTTCACGACAAGCTATAGACAAAGGTTTTTCGCTGTCTTTATAGCATAAATCTGGATTACAATGGTGTTGCAAAAGTAAATGAACAATATCAACATTACCGTTGCGCGAAGCAACATGGAGTGGTGTCTCATGATCAGTATCATACATCTCGAGATCATTGGTATGTTCAATTAATAGTTTTACAAGCTCTGTATAACCAGCACCGGAAGCGTAATGCAAAGGTGTTTTATTGCGCCTGTTTCTGATATTTGCATCACACTTGTATTTCAACAATAGTCTTACAATCTCAATTTGACTCTTCATTGTAGCTACTAAAACCGGTGTGTCCCCAAAAATATCGATAGCATTTACATTTGCTTTGTGATCTAACAATAAATTAACGGTATCTGTTCGGCCTGAGAAAGAAGATCTAAAGAGAGGCGTTGCGCCATATTTATCACGTATGTTTATGTCACAGTTTTCGTTTAAAAGTATTTTTGCAATATTAGTATGACCAAGACAGCAAGCTACGTGCAGCGCTGATTGGTTAAATTCATAATCAGTACTGTTTACCATAACTTGTTTTTCTAATAAAGAATTAACTGCAATTGTTTCATCTCTTTTACAGGCTAAATAAAAACGTATTGCATTATACCGGTTTTTGATATTTCCGCCTGCTCCATAATCAAGCATTAGGCTTACAATTTCTGTGTTATCCTTTTCTAGCGCAACAAAGAAAGGTGTTATATTAATCATATTACAAATATTGTAATCGGCGCCATATTTTAAAAGTACCTTTGCAGTATCCGTGTGATTTGCGATCAAAGCTCTAAAAAGAGGTGTTACATTATCCTCATCGTGGTGATCTGTTTCTGATTTGTACTTCAACAGCAATGATACAATGTCTGTGTAACCTTTTTCCGATGCTATATCAAGAGGTATTTGACTGTACTTATCTCTCAAATTTGGGTCAGCATTATATACTAGTAATAACTTTACAACATCAATATAACCACACTTCGAAGCTTCAAAAAGTGGCGTCACATCTCCCCAGCTTCCAGTATTAGGTTCAGCATTATGTGATAAAAGTAGTTTTACTATTGCAGCATGTCCTTTAAGTGAAGCTATATACAGAGGAGTTATTTTTCCTCTGCTTTTAATATTTGGATTAGCTTTATGGTTTAAGAGTAATTCTACAACATCTTTATAACCTTTTTCTGAAGCTACATATAGAGAAGTTTCTAACATTCCACTTATAACTTTTCGATCAGCTTTATTTTTTAATATGGTCAGTAGAGTATCTACAACGCCATTTTCTGTGTTATTCCTTTCAGCCGTAATGAGAAAAGGTGTCATAATAATAACATCACAAATATCGATAGCAGCGCCATGTTCTAAAAGTACCCTTGCAGTATCCGTGTGATTTGCAATCAAAGCTCTAAAAAGAGGTGTTACATTATCCTCATCACGGTGATTTTTGTCTGATTTGTACTGTAACAGTAATGATACTATGCCTGTGAAACCTTTTTCCGATGCTATATCAAGTGGAATTCGACTGTACTTATCTCTCAAATTGGGGTCAGCATTATATTCTAGTAGTAACTTTACAACATCTATATGACCATTCCTCGAAGCCTCAAGCAGAGGTGTTACATTTCCCCAGCTGACAGTATTAGGATAAGCTTTAAATGATAACAGTAGTTTTACTATAGTCGCATAACCATTCAATGCAGCTACATACAATGGTGCTATTTTTACTCTGCTTTTAATATTAGGATTGGCTTTGTGGTAAAGTAATAATTTTACAATATTACTATAACCCTTCTCTGAGGCTGCAAAAAGTGAGGTTTCTGATTGTCCACATATGATATCTGGATTAGCTTCATGCTGTAACAGGATCGTGACAGTATCGACAAATCCCTCTGTTGATGCTTTAAATAATGGGGTGTCTACACGTAAAATGTTAAAATAGCTAAAGCTTACATCTCTACTGTCCACGTCAATATCTTTTGATAACAATAATTGTAACATATCACTATAATCTTGACATACCATTGAAAATATCAACGTGTAATGTGTTTCGTTGTCTAATAAATTAACAGTTTTACGTATATCAATACTGTCTACAAGAAATCCGATCAATTGCTGACGAAACGATTCATACTTTAATTGTGTATTCAAGAATATATTTTCAAGAAAACCGTCATTTATATCTCTTAGCAGTCTCTCAAAATATTTTGTTGTCTTTGTTTCCGGAATTGTAATGCAATAATCTGTTGCATCCGTTTCCTCTGTAATTAAACGTTCCAACAGAAATCGATCTCGTACAACTTCTGTGTGGGCAATATTAAGCACAAGATCAAACTTATGCTGACCGCAGAAAGACACAAAAATTGTAAACAATTTGTCATGCAAAATACTGTATGTATCTGCACTTTTTTTTATATATCCCTCGCACAATTTTTCTAATTCATATCCTATAATTTGAGGTGATAAATTACTTTGAACCTGAAAGTTGTCAAATAACTCTTCAAGAACTTGTTTAATACCTGATTTTTCTAACAACAGATTTTCGTGTAAATTGTTATTATAAACAATGAAAAGGAATAACGTTGCAAATGTTGTTTGATCATTAGAATTAAATAACAATTGAATATCCTCTCTTATTACCTGTACTGGGTTAGAAAAAAACGCAATGACATCTCTTCCTGTTTGCTTTGTATAAAGATTGCATAAAAGGGGGAAAAAGTCAAACATCTCAAAAATATTTACCTGTATTTTTGTCACCTCCTCGTTTGTCAGATACATCTTAGCGATTGACATTCTCTCTGGTTTTGTCAAGCAAAAATCAGATGTTAAATTACATACCGCAGTAGCCATAAACATGATATTTTTAAAGAGACGGTCTTGAAAAATGTGTGTTCTACACGAAGATAAAATTTTTACTGTGTTACTTTTAAACATTTTTTTTATTGCAACTTTCATTCTACTCATAGCGTTAACCAAATTGTTGTCAATTGTAGATTTACCACAAATGTCATCAATAACAAACACTTGTTTGTGTTCAGGATTAAAATATTGTAAGATGCAATCTGGACTTGAAAGAGGTACGATGTCAAACCCTTGTTGATGATGTAACATTAAAGCAACATATTGGATAGATGTAGACTTTCCGCATCCTGATGATCCAACAGCAACAACGGTATCCGTTTTCTTTACCAAGTGAAGTAGATGTTTGATAGCTCTTGTTTCTACTACTTTTTGTTTTTCCCATTCTTCGATTATCGCGATATGGATCCCTACAAAAGTTACATATAACTGCCTTAATGACATTGTTACATAATGAGATAGAATTACTGATTATTCAGTTTGTTTTGATTCTAAAGAAAACTTCAGAATGTAATACAAAAAGAATGTATTCTATTACAAATTGGATTATGTTGTTCCCAAATGAATTTTTGTTTTCAGAGTTTGGTCATATTTGTACGAAACGTTATGACTTTAAGAATCAGATACCGTTTAGAGGATTTCTAAAACATAACCCAGCAGACATTTGACGTTGTATATACATCAGTTCGACGTCAGACCCTAACGTTGCGCCTACGTAAGATTTTGGTTGTAAATAATATTTTGTAGACGTTTAAAACTGACGTCTTCCCAACGTCTTGACATACGTCCGTTCAACGTTTGTACAACGTAGTTACAACATCAGTACAACGTTGGTACAATATCAGATCAACCAACAGGATGAACTCGAATAAGGATGTTCCACGTCTGTACAACGTCATAACAACCACAATTAAACCTCTTTAAATATCCTCAGATGTGTGTACAACGTTTAATCAACGTCCTAACAACACCATTAAACCTCTTTAAATATCCTCAGATGTCTGCACAACGTCTAATCAACATCCTAACAACCACCATTAAAACCTCTTTAAATATCCTCAGCTATCTATACAACGTCTAATCAACGTCATAACAACCACTATTTAACCTCTTTAAATATCCTCAGATGTCTTCAGAGCTAATTAAAGACCAAAGTAAATCCTTATTAACGTTCTTAAATTGGACAACTTTATTTAATGAAACAATAATTCATACAAGTTGACGTCCTGAATAAGTGCTTCAACATCATTAAGACCTCAGAAAATCATTCCTTCCTACAAAGGCTGGTAACCTTATAATTCATGTCTCCACAACTACTTTGTACATCAATCTGCTGTTGACCAGGGGTTATAAAATGGTCGCATTGTCCGGGCTTGACCAGTAAATTATATTTTTGACTTGATATGCAGAGCCTGAAGTGGACATATAAGGTTTTGTCAAGTAAATATAGGAGAAACCAACAAATATCAATTAGTTAAGTTCTAAAAAGCAGAGCTATGAGCATTGAACACTTGAAATAAGTGTTGAAACAAAACAATAGATAATTGAATGAATCTACATATTTTAATGTGGTATTTTTAAAAACATCAATGTCTATTTTCTGCTCCATTTCTATTGATGTCTGCTGCTCCGTCAGTTGATGTCCCAACTTTCTTCTTCCGAACACTCTTCCCATTCTGCCAGGTGGGTACTTCAGATAAGCTGCTGTTACCTGTATGTCATGTACCGTTTCTAAAATAAAAAATGTATAATTTATGTGAAAATCAAACAGTTTAGTGTCAACAAGATAATGTCATTAGTGCTGCATTATCAATGTTTTGAGCAAATTTTGAGGCAAACAGTTAAACCCCTGACTTCAATAACAAATTGGTCTAGGTATAGTAAAAATATTCTTTATATTTTTTTATAAAGCAAGGGATCATACATTGCAAACACAGATCAATGATTGAAAATATAAAGTTTTTTTTTCAAATTATATAGTTATCACCGATATCTTGACAGTCACTCATCTTGAGAAACAATAATGCACCGCAAGCACCGAGATCTTTACAATCACTCATCTTGGGAAACAATAATGCATCACAAGCACCGAGATCTTGACAGTCACTCATCTTGGGAAACAATAATGCATCACAAGCACCGAGATCTTGACAGTCACTCATCTTGGGAAACAATAATGCATCACAAGCACCGATATTTTGACAGTCACTCATCTAGGGAAACAATAATGCATCACAAGCACCGAGATCTTGACAGTCACTCATCTTGAGAAACAATAATGCGTCACAAGCACCGAGATCTTGAGTCACTCATCTTGAGAAACAATAATGCACCACAAGCACCGAGATCTTTACAGTCACTCATCTTTGGAAACAATAATGCACCGCAAGCACCAAGATCTTGACAGTCACTTTTGAGATGAAATAATTCCCCACAAGCACCAAGACCTGTACAGTCACTAATCTTGAGGAAACAATAATTAATGCACCGCAAGTACCGAGATCTTTACGGTCACTCATCATGAGAAACAATAATGCACCACAAGCATCGAGATCTTGACAAACAGTCTTTTTGTATAATAAAACACCCATAAAAATGTATCCTACATTGCCAGATCGACCCTATATTTTTACAATAATTCAAAATAAATATTAATCATGAAAAATTAATTATGATGATATATATTTTATTTTATATTTAAATTCTTCATCAATAGATATTTATGGCATTTTTGCTATACGCAAGAAGTAGTTTAACATTGAAACTTTGTTTACATTCTTCTTCAAACTGTAATAAATTCCAGTATTTTGCGATACTTTTTATTTTATTTTACATATACATGTATATGGGTTATGTTTAGATACCAAAACTATAGGAATATTTGCTTTTTCCTTGAATTTTATGTACTGTAATAATTAACTACGGTTAATTAAGCATCAGTATTAAATATATCATCTATTTCGACGTTATCATATAAATTTGGTCAGATTGTGTATTAATTTGCCATCGTCACACGTGTTTCTTATCTGCATATTACTTCGCCGATAACATGTTGGAATACATGCTGAGAGTGACAGCTAGAGTAGAAAAAATTTGTGTGTTTTAAATGTATTTCAAGGTCAAGAATATCATGTGTTGTAAATCTTTGACTTGTAATTGCATCAACATATAAAAATAAGAACGAAATGTTATCGTTTGAATTTACATAGGTGAATTCAACTTCAATAAGGGATTATAAAATTAAATAATTATTTCAATATTTGCCAGACGAATAATTTCTTCAATTTCATCCGATGCTCAATGATATATTATGAATCCATCCTCTCTGTATCTGCAATTATGATAGAATTTTGGAGAAAGCGTTACTAAGTTGAAAAACTTGTATCTAATATCCATTTATCCATTTTGAACAATAAAATATGTTTAAACTAATATTAGAATACTTTGCCACACGCTTATGCTTTTTACCAAGTCATTGTTCATAATGTTTTTAACACAAGTTTCATCATCCATTTTTCAATATTCACATGTCAAATATATCTTAAGGTCAACCTAGTTGTTCGCTGAGGCTTACATTATATTAATTATATCTGATCCGAGATCTGATCTGCACAAATCACTGTACACTCATACTTGCGGGAACAGCGACTAATTACAGCTACAATACTGATTACACTAAATTATGATATATCTTATATCAAAGCAAACAATAAATGAAAATTACACTTACCTTGCACTTCTTACAGCATCCGTCGTAGAATTTGTTGTTGTAATCAAATTGGCGCACATAAATTCGAAATGTCGGCCTCATACGCATGCGCCAATTGAAATAAAATCTGTTTCTTGTACTGAATTGAAATATTTTACGGCGAAATTTTTTAAACAGTTTATTCATTGACTTTAATCATATCAATTTGATATATTAGTAACAGTAATCATTGAATTTATTCAAAAACACAAGTAAACCAATTTAAATAAAAGGTTGCGTGCCTGCTGGGTATATATGTTCAGGTAAGTATGATTTCGATATTTTTGATTAATTTAGACGTCCGACCGACATTTGGAATCCGACGTTGTGTCGACGTTGTATAAGGTTGTGACAAAAAACCAAGGTTATATAGACGTCATTCTATTGCCAGTCGACGTTGAACCGACGTTGAATTTAGGTCGCTGACGATGCGACCTATTTTCAACCAAATATCCACGTCGATCTGTACAACATCGGGTGTCTGCTTGGAAGCAAAATTGACTACTGCAATGCCAGTTTTATGTTCTTGATTAAACTACTGAACTAGAACAACAACAGCTACAAGAAATATTTATTTTGCCAATAACAGTACCAAAAATGAGCGCAATATTAGGGTGTCACACCACGAATTCCACCAACCAAATTTAATGAGATCTGTGAATTCTACACAATATTTATGGGAGGTCAGAATTGTTGGTGAACCAAATAGTACAGTCAGACTGATTAAACATAATCAAAAGACTTAAAGCAAAGTCTAACTCAATTATTTCGTGTTTAACTGCGTGATATTTGATGTTAAAATAGAGAAAATAAGTTATATGACAATGATTTGAAAATATATGATATGTTCTATTATGTATCATTTTGCGCTCTTCACTGGATATCTGGCATGTCTAAATCTGGAAAAGAAACCTATATTTCTTGTTGGTGTTTTCTGTATTACTAATGAATTTTTCATACAGCCAATGCATATTTCTTTCTATTGTTTTGATAAAAACATATAGTATTTTGTTATTTTTTACATCTAAAGCTTCTTGAAAATAACAATTATGTAAGATATTTTTTTCGTAATCAATTATCATTGAGAAAATGTATCTCTTCTCAAAGTTTCAGACAGGTTTTTGTTTATCGAGGAAGTGGAAATTAAACAATAAGTTTCGACCGTTACAAACTGCACTCCATTTAAAAGTTTGGATTTTGTACTTTATTATTTTATATTTATCGAATCGGCCGTTTTCTATATCAACTTTATGAGCTACAAATTGGAATGTGAAACCTTTTAAAATATTTAATCAGGTTTTTTTATAAGAAATTGTATTAGTAGATTACGACATAGTACACAAAATATAACTAAATTTGTTGCATTATTTTTAGTTACACCTAATGCCGACTTCCAGAATTTGTGATGCATTTTCTCACTTATACATATATTTCACATTTAAACGAAAGCCTTCAACTCTGTTTCATTAATTACGCTTTTGCGAATAATAGCAATTATTATACCTCAGTATGTTTTTTCTATATAAAAAAGAATGAAATATTTGTGCTATTTCATTCCACAGACTATTTGGCAGTCAATAGACTATTACCCCGGTCAATTGTCTTATCAACATATTTCCCGTACTTTTTCATTCTAATTTTTCATTGGACAACAATGACGTCATTGACTATTTTGCTTGGCAACGTTAAACTCTGAAATATCGTAAACGACATATTATGTATGTGTCTGTCGTCGTAATTTCAAATTAATGTATAACTAACCAGAAGCAATTAAAAAAGAAAGAGAAAATCTACGCGACATATTTTAATAACTAAAATATAACAAATGTATGGTATGAGTCTGTCGTCGTCTTCATAATCAGGGATTGCTTTGGTGTACGGTAATATATCTAGCTAGCGTTAATTATATGCACGGGAATTTTTACAAAAGGATTCCTCGTCTTGATTACAGTAAATAAAATATTGACTAATACCACACGGGCAAAGAAAAAAACCCATCGGATAGTTCATCTTGTGTATGTTTATGTGACTATTTGTTTTTTCCCCAAGTGATGTATGCAGTCTTTTTAGAAAGATCTTTTGTTCGGTATAATAAAACACTTAATGACTGGCTATGAGTGTAATAGTAAGTTTGTTGTCCCTTTGATACTAACTATTGCCCTCGGTTTAGCCTCGAGCAATAGTTGGTATCTCAGGGACAACAAACTTGCTATTACCCTCATAACCAGTCAATAGGTGTATATTACTTATTTCAAAACAAGTATAATAATATGATAACATCATCATGGTTATTGTGAAAGACATTATATTTACTGCAAATATCACTAAATCGGAAACACTCATCATCTGCTAAAAGTTTGCTATCATGATCATTGCATGAAACTGAATAAATTCTCTTGAAAATTTTTGAATGATTACTGTTGTATTAATCTACTTAATTGGATAACCAGATAGAATAAAGCATTCATCATTTGAAACCTTAATACATATTTCATGTATTTCTCAATTTTTTTGTGTCAAAACGTCTTTATGTTTCTATTTTAAAAAGCACGCACTGGTAAAACAATTTTGAACTGAAACGGTCATTTTGGTATCAAGAACTCTTTATAGACTGAACACTCAATTCATATTATTCATGTTATTTTGTCATGTTTAGTCTTTGAGTCAATTTTCAACTTATCCAATAAAGATTTGTTCAATCTATATTAAGACTGTTCAGCATTTATAACTAACCTGTACATAACCCTAACATACTGAAATATCTAAATAGCTTCTGAATAGTTCTGAATTAACTGCAAGAAAAACGACTGACCAGTACAGAACTTACAATAAAATGAATAATTGAAAATTAAGTTAGCTCGTTAAAAAAAGACTACTCAAATGATGTTGAGATTAATTTTGGTCATTTTCATTTTTCATTGGGGTTTTTTTTGTCCTCAACTCCGAGCTTGAATATCCCAGTGGTGTCTTTCATCTCTTTTTGGCAAATAGTTTAATGTAAAAAGTATTGAATTTGCTGTTTAAGAAAACACTCAGTTGAATTTCTCATTGACACTAATTATAATCACATATAATGTGTATAAGGTATTTATCCGGATTCGTTGGATAACATAATCGGGAATGCTTTATGTTTAGTATTGAATTATCTGTTAATTATACGCTTTACAATTATCAATATCTGTTGGCTTTCTTTTTGAAACATGTTTAACTTAGTATGAAGTATATTTGTTTAACTTTCACATTAGGTTTCTCTCTGTGGTTTTCCAAACACCCATAAGAAGACAGTAAATTTACAGGGAATAACAGATGCTTGAAAAAATATAGATCACAAGTCATGAAAGATAATTACACAGGAAACGTATTTTATTTGTATGTACATGCGCTAATTACCCTTAATTAGCCTTTAGATTTAACCATCGTTGTTTTGTCGCCCTGATATTTTTACTTAACTGGAGTTTATCGCCGCCACTATCAATCAACGACATAGCAATAAAATTTCGTTATCAAGAATAACCTAGTATCTTCATTTTCAAACACATGATAAAGGCTTATCTTTTGCAGATTTAGAATTCAACAAACATACTTATCTATTTTCATAAAGTATGCCATTTTACAGGGCATCTTTATAAGTTGCTATGTTTTTTCATTCATCTGGTTAAAATAACCCAAGAGTTGACTATTCTTTATTTTTTGCCTTTGAATTTTTGTTAGGTGTCTTCATTCTATAATTTGATATAATTACTCAACATCAAACATCTTCAAACAGAAAGCTCGTCAACATTTGAAAAAAATGAACAATAACTAACCCTTTAACCCCTTTGGAATCGGGTCATGTGATCTCTCCATATTTCTTATCTCTATGATTATTTCTCTATCATTGTTATCTAGCTTACATATTTTCAGGTTATCACATTTTTGTTGAAAGCTGTGTCCACCCAGACTTACAATTGCCTTAAATAGAATAATAAACTATAACTTAGAAATTATATATGATCGTTTTGTCAAACTCTTTAGATCAAAGAAGAAAATGGTATCCATTTCCTTGAAAGACATTCAACTTTATGTCACATGAGCATATCTTGTATTGTAATTCTTCATTTTTAACATACTTGTACTATTAAAAGCGACTGTATAGTTATTTCAAGTTAAATTTTCATCAAGAGTTCCAAGTGATGAAGTTTAAATAATCCCTTCGAAAATTTTATGGAGGCCATCAGGAGTTGGTTGACCATTATGGAATATGTTTTAGTTGTCGTAACCACAATTCCGTCCTCTTTTCCTCGAATATGACCCACTAAATTGACTCATCTCCGGTTATGTACTTGCAAGAGAAACAAGATGAGTGCCACATATAGGACACGATTGGCTTACCGTTCCAGAGAACATGCAATTATCCCCGGTTTGAAGTAGAGTTAATGATGCTTAGTCTTTAGTCTTCTATGTTGTGTTTTGTATACTGTAGTTAGTCTTTTCGTAGTTTTTTGTTTTGTTGCAATGTTATTGTCAAATAGTGCTCGATTTATGAATATCTTTCTCCCATGTTTTCCGTAACACATTGTGTTATTCAATTGCAATTTTATTTAACCTTTTTGATTTTGTGTTACAATTTTGAACGTCATGTGGCCACTTATTTGTACCAAACTAAATAAATTCCCACGTCAATTATGTTAATGATTTTGTTCACAGAATTCTGCCACATAATAAACATTTAATATATTCAAAAGCTTATTGAACTTAACATTCTTCTTGTTTTTTTTTTTTTTTTATTTAAAATAAAAACCACTATATCTCAAGTTAATTTGAGTCCCAAAAATAAAGTTTAATTTTCTACTTAAAAGTGTGTTATCTATTTGAAAAATTAAAAAAGAAAGGCATTCCTGAAAATGTAAGGTTTAGTTGTCATGGCTGTATAATGAGAAAATACCTTGATAATATTCATAACATCGTCCTTCCTTTCGCTCAGTCGCTCCGTTATTTTCATATCACGCCTTTGAAACGTAAGCAGAACTTATCAGCGACATCACAATTTCTGAGGGAAAGATATCTGCGCTTTTGAGCGGAAAGATATAATACATTATCAGCCGCTTTACTCAAGTAGTAAATTGGAGTCACGTGCGGATTTGAACGCACAACTGACATGGTATGGATACAGTAGTTCGACCACCGATCATCGAATATCGAACTACTTTTTGTGCATTTGATCAGTATAACATTTTGCCTAATACTGTTATTCCTAACAAGAAAAGATATACACACGATGAAAATTACACGAAAATGCCTGTAACAAGTCAGGAATATAACAGTTGTTATCCATTCGTTTGATGTGTTTAAGCTTTCGATTTTGCCATTTGATTAGGGACTTTCCGTTTTGAATTTTTCGCAGAGTTCGGTATTTTTTGTTATTTTACTTTATTGTATATTATATTTCGGTTTTGAAAGACTTATCAATCCTAAGCATTTGCCAATTTGGACAAAAAAAATATTTTACAAATGCAGCCTGAAATGAAAACTGAAATTAAATCAAATTAATGCCGGTTCAGATAGCCTAAAATCATATTGTTAGAAGGAAACCGATATATTTTCCAACTGTGAACCAATATCAGCGCATACACATTGGAATTAAAGATGATACTAACAATTTTGTATATATGATTTGTTGAGTCTGCTTAATCGTTTACTTATGTTGCAAACACATTTGTAATTATATGATTTCTCAGTCGAGTCATATTGTTCCTTAAAAGGTTATTCTTCAGAACAAACAGTTGTTAAGACATAGAATTACCCGAGAAATGTCGGTCCAGTAATCGTTGAGTTGGCTGTCAGTTAATACACCATCATTGGAGTGAGCAATCTTGTTCCTATAATATTTCAGCCTTGATAAATCAGCCCCTTCACTTGTATCAGTTGGATGTGGTAAAATGTCCGATACTGATATCTGTGCTAGATGTCTAATCAAACAAATCATCAGTGTCAAGTCAAAAGTCGTAGATGAGGCCTTCCCTATTCAAATAGCACAAAATCAGAGTGTGTACAATGCCAATTACAACTTTGTATGAGATTATATGTTTGATAAAAGGCTTATGGGTTTAACTACTTGTATGAAGACGTCTTGTTCTGAATATTCCTGAATAAGGTTAGTCCAGTGTTAATCAAATGTTCGTTAATACTAAAAAAAAATAGACGTGTTGTATGTATTATTTTCGGTATTTGAAAATCGCAAAATCCATATACACTTTTGTTTCAGTCGTGCTGATATAACTATTTCATTTTCTGCTTTCACTTCAAACATTTCTAAATGCATATTCAGTTCGATTATTAAAAAAACAATAACGTATAGATAACTCGACTGTACAAGAACACATGATAAGTATTTTACTTCTGATCTTCTTTCAACATTAAGATATTGAAATAGAAACCATGGTATCTAAACTATTTACTATTTAGAATGTCAAACAAAAAATATCTTTTCATTCTATTTTTTTTACTAAATAAAAGTTTTTTTAATTGATAAGATAAATAGACGGAATATACATGCAAGGTACCAAGGCATAATAAAATTTAGCACTAGCTAGAATGTAATTATGGTATATCCCTGCATGTGCTACGAAACGCGCTATAAACCTTCATTTGAATGCCCGAAAGATATAACTCTATAAGAATCACCTGACACTTGTCATTTTTTTTCATCAATAGAATTCTAACATTTTTAGAGGGTTACGCCCACAAGGAAGCTATTAAACCAAGAGTTCCAGGTGTTGAATTGAAATCATTCATTCTAAACAATTACAGACAATCATGAGATGATTGACTGTTATGGCATATTCGTTTCACAGATGATAGCAGATATGATTCAAATGTCGTACAATCCCATCCCTTTGTCACCAATAGGAAGTACCGAGTAAGACGTAATACCGGGTTTGTACTAACATGAGCAATACGACGGGTGCCACATGTGAAGCAGATTCTGCTTACCCTTCCGGATTACCTGAGGTCACCCCAAATTGTGTTTTTTTGTTGTTGTTTTTTTTTTTTTTTTTGGGGGGGGGGGGGGGGTGGGACGGGGTTTGTGCTACTATGTCTTTAATGTGTTTTATATACTATGGTTTAACTGTTGGTCGTTTTATTTTTGACTTATGAGTTTGAAAGTCCCTTTGGTAACTTTCGCCTCTCTTTTAGAGAATCAGATAATTGTAGTTCTGTTTACCCGAATCATTAGAAGGCAATGACAAAAACGTCAATATCATATACCTTACTGGCCTACTGGTTAATTCTCTTTACCCATGTTAACTATATCAAGACGACGGGGACGTGTTGGTGAAAGTATACACCTAAAATAACGTTTTCTGTTTACTTTACATGAAGTCTTTAAGAGCTCTAATTGATTTAGAGACCCTAAACTTAAAAGTCTGATGAATATTTTTTTTATATGTTTCATTTTAGCTCGTATATTAATCTATTCCTATACATATCTAATCTATACAATTACCTGAGATAGGAAATAAAAAATTCCATTGTGTCTGGTTTATAACTTTCTTTTCCTTCAAAGGTGCTAACACTTTAAGTCTAGCTTGATTCAGAGTTTGTTGAAGTGTAAAAGGGGCTAATTCCTTGTCAAATTTAAATCTGACAGCAGTTGGAGCCACTCGAAGTATTAAGTTCGCTGTCCGTAGGTAGTTTATTTCTTCTTGCGTTAATGAGCATTCAGTTGTGTTTGTTTTAATTGACGTCATTTCTCTGTAAAAAGAATCAATTAAAAATATATAACAGATTTTTGGAGACATATATACAGTATGTCAGGTTGAGATTGTCTGGTATCGGTTGTGATATTCTTGAACATTGTTGAGATTTTCTGTCAAATAAAACATCCAACTAGCTCATTGTCAAATACATACGAACGTCAAAATTCGTGAAATCGTTGTATACTGGTAATCGATGGAGCTTGTACTTGTTTCGACATTAGTTGTATATGATCGAGTCCTGTCGGTCTGTTAATATAGAATATAAAGAGTATTGTTTTTTAAAGCCTAGAAAACGAGATGTAAAGTCTAGTGCTGAAGAGGTGAAGATGTTAAGTAATCGCTAGAGAAATAAAGTCTAGCACTCAATACGTAAGGTTATCACTGAAGATGTAAAGTTGAGCGCTGTATGTATTAGGTAGCAAAACACAGTTAGGAGTTTTGTAATTCGGCCCTGGTAAATTTGACAAATAAGACAGTTAATGTGCAATAATATGTACTGTTAGCTGTTTGAATAACCTTTCAAACGGACTTTATATGAACATCAAGATTGTTTTTAACATGTCGTGTTGCGAATTTTCTATTTGACAGTCCTTGTGTCATATCCGTAACTACATTAGGTCAAGAAATTATAGGCTGAAATTGAATTGAAAAAAGCTTGAATAAAATTTTTTAAAAAAACCGCTCTTGTACATACGTTATGCCGTTAGTTTTTTCTCGTTTGAATTTTTAACATTTGTCATTTCGCGGCCTTTTATAGCTGATTCCGCGGTATGGGTTTTGCTCATTTTTTAAGGCCTAACTGTTACCTATAGGTGTAATACCACCATTGATTTTCTCCTATTAATCTTTGTTAAATTTGCACTTTTTAAAAAAATTGTGCAGACTGTATCTTTATTTCAAATAAAGGAATACTTGGCATGAGAAAAGTTGTATCCTGTCCAGTACTACAGACAAAGTTTCACATAATGTTTCATTGCAGATAAGAAAATAAACATCACTGGAAGTTAACCAATCACATTTGCACCTCTATTTTACCTGTGTACAAGCTTTAGTAACCATGTAACCTCAAGTTTCCAATTTATTCCATAGAAACACCAAATAAAAAAAAAGTAGTGGTGCTTTGAAACACCCAAGATATTTATGTTTATCCCTCAAAAGTTTTTTTATTGGCCATCAAATGGACGAGTTCATATTATTATTTAGGTTTGCAAGTTCTTTTGTCACATAAACATTTTTTACAATATTAAAACCATGCATTCTTTAGAAATTTGAGAACGTATCATACGTTTACATCCTTTGAATAAAGTTATTATTTCGAAGAAAAATATTGAAATATATTCAAACTTTCAAATGGCTTTTTTTTTAGTATCTATAACCGAAAAATAAACAAATTGCATTTTGGCGTTCCGTTCGGATGGCAAGGATTCGTTTCATTATGAAGTGATTTATTATTTAAGTCTGAATCGTTTTTGCATGTAATATCGTTGTCTCCATTAAACTTGTAAAGAGAAAAACCCCGATTTAGACTCCCTTTTCATACATGACAAGTTAAACTGCCTCGTACCGGCCAAAAATGTGAACAATCACAGGTCATCGTATAGACTTTAACAATGAAAACATAATTATCGTTTACTTAATCAAACAAGGCGTCGGCATGACAAAATGAGAATCAATTACCGACGTTTAAAAGCATCTGAGATAACTCCGAGTTTAAAGTTGTTATCCATTCATTTGATGTGTTTGAGCTTTTGATTGTGTCATTTTATTAGGGACTTTCCGTTTTGAATTTTCCTCGGAGTTCAGTATTTTTGTGATTTAACTTTCTAGTGGTGCTAAGTCTTTAGTTTTCTATACTAGTTCGTCGTTGTTCATATTTAGCCATAGAATAATCAGTTTCCATTCGACTTTGTAGTTTTTGAATGTCCCCTATTATATGTTTCCTCCTGCTTACAAAACAGACCCTTTGGACTTCAAAACGCACATACATTTATGAAAACAGAAATCAAATTGCTTGTAATAAGGTACATGTGGACGTGTTCAACATGTTAGTGGGCGTTTAGTTCTCCTCCCTCCCAAAAAAAAATTAGATAAATTTGGGACAGCGGTGAAGCAGAACAACATTGGAACGAAAGAAACTGTAAAAACGTTAGAAAGGGCTTTAACACTAGATCAATAATAAGAACAAACACAAATAAAAGATAAATGGCACACACTACTGAACTTATAATACATTTTGAAAAATAGGTTCAAGATTTTGAATCTTGTGCGAAGAGCCTTTTAAAAGTGAAGATAACAAAGGACGTTGTCTGCCATGGGGTACAACCAGGCATTTATCAACAATTTCTTTTTGACGGAAATATCATTGATATGTTCATCTTCTGTATATTTATTATTTATAAAATATTCGTTAATTGAAATATTTTTAGTCTTTTATTCAACAGGCACTTCTGTATTTTAAATATACGTTGCATTTAATCTTGATGTAACTTCTTTTGTGTGAGCTACATCAACATCTTAATCCTAAGCCAGTTTGTTAACTAACATTTTGATAAGACGCACACCAACCCTTATTGGCCTTATTCCTATCTACAATAATTTTTTTTCACTTCTAAAAATTTATGGTGGGCAGAATCAATATACCGTAATCTATACACCAGACTCGACTGGTTACAGGAACTTTTGACACACCAAACCAGGTCCTTTATATCTGAGAAACAATAATTTATATGCTCTCAATCTTATAATTTATTTATACGTTTTTGTAATATTCAAAATCATCAGTCAATATGTTTTCTTCAAGGGTCAACAGTCCCTTTCCATTCTTTTGATATATATTACTGATAAAAATATATTCTATATAGTTTTATATTTACACCTATGTGTATGAACTATTTTGTTCAAAATATGAACTACTTGCTAGTATGTTCCTATTCGACCTGGCTCAATTTTGTTGTGATAAATCTCACAAAGAATATTCGATTCATTGTGCAAGGACGTCCATTTAAAACAGTGTTGGGTCGTCTTAAACTTGCAGTGAGGTTTCTTTTTCTCCGTGTTGAAGGCATCAATGGGACTTTGAAATGCAGAATAGTAATAATAGCACCGTTTCTTTGCTTTTTTGTGCGATTTTTGCTGTGCACGAACTGATTTTGTGTCATGGATGGACTCTCCATAACCTTTGTTTTTCGATCACAGTCTTAGCCTTACTTTGATCTTTTCAAATTCGATCTGGGTTCTCACTGTTGTGATTCATGCACCATTGATGAGTCGTATGTAGACGAAGCGCGTATCTGTTATTCACATTATTATCTTGTTATCTTGTATGATTTATTGAAACCATTGGATCGATGGCAGTTATCATGGACGTTTCGCCTCCGAGTGTTTTTCTCTGTACTACTATGATATCATCTTTTTCTATTTATATGCTGCGGAGAAAAAGATTGCAGTGGAATACATGTCGATATAAAGTTCGACGGAATAGGACTTGGATTTTGACTACAATGTTATACCGATGGCATTGTATCCATATTCGATTTGGCTACTCGCAAAACTAATTTTCACTAAACTAAGTTTAATATTTTCAATATATACATAATATTCCTTGTACAACTGTTATCGTTATTTTAACACATAACTGTTTTTCTTTTCGAATAAACAAAATCATACTAATTAAAAAATGTCACTGTCTGATATAAGAAATTCCTATTTTTACGCTACTATTTAATCTTAACCACAAAACATAAAAATAAAAGTAATTTATCAACAAGGTGGGATGCAGACTTCCATTTAAACTATCTTTGACCTCGTTAATGATTTAAATGAAATTTAAGAAAACCGTTAACTTAGACATTTAAATATATGAGGTTGTATATTCATGTTAAACGAGGTTCAAAAATTCCAGGGGTACATTAAAAATTGTAGATAATAAACACCAGTGGCTTAAAATGAAAATCCCCAGTAGACAAACAATAGTACACAAAACACAACATAAAAAAGCTGAGGACTGAGCAACACTAATCCAACCGAAAACTGGAGATGATCTCAGGTGTTCCAGAACTTGTTGCAGACGATTTTTCCTATCAAAGATCAAAACATTTGGTGAAATTCTGTGAAAGTTACTTGCAATCAAAATAGTGTACAAGCGAAATGTATTCTATTCATTAAGGTTCTAAACTTTGCCTGTATTTTTAAACCTATAACATTAGCATGAACTGTATTAGATGTAACAGTATTCGTCCATACCAATATTAAACAAATTAAGTAGTCTCGCAGGCCTCCAGATTTTTGTGATCACCCCAAGACCCGGTTTGGCCACAACATAACAATTTCAAGTTTATTTACAATTTACACAGTGTGTATATGTTAAATGTGTTTAAATGAGCATATGTTCGAATAATATAGGACTTTATTCATTATAGATTGAAAAATACAGGCCAAAGTTTAGATGTTTATGAAGTGTCATATATTTTGACTTTAGTAGAACCTTACTACTAATTAAAAAATTATTTTCATTCTAACAAAAATAATCTAAATTTAAACAAATTGTAGCCTCCTAGCAGGCGAAAACCCAGTTGAAATAGAACAAAAGAATCAAAGCTATTTGTTAGAGAAGGCAACAAATGCTTACTGGAATGTTTACTATAGTAACAAAAAATTTAAAAATTAAAAGAAACAAATAGAATGACAATTTTCTGCTAAATTACGAGGTAATTTATTATACGAACACCATTTGTATACGTTTTCAATCTATCTATAATTACATAATTAAGCAGAACAATTAGATATCAAGTCGACAACATGGGTGTCTATTTAGTTGGATCTAAAAAATGCATAGCCTCCGATTTAAATTAGAAAAATACCACGAATGGAGAACATATCAATCTATTTGTTCCTTAATTTTCGTTTCTGCCCTTCCATTATGTGACTCAAGAAAAAATTTCAAAAAATGGGTTACATTGGCATCGAAAAGAGAAAATCGAGTGCACCTTTTT